CGCAGTCGGCGGCGAGGGTGCGGCGAGGTGCGGCGAGGCGAGGCGAGGCGTGTGGCGTGTGGCGTGGCTTTGCCTTGCCGAGCCGGAGGGCGGGGCGGAACTATACGCTGAGCCTTTGTTTGCACGTCTAGCGGCGAGTGAGGGCGGGTGCGGGACGAGCGGTAATGGTGAGCCGCGAGGAGGGGGCGGTGCTAGCGCGGGGTCAAGGGTGGTGGTGTAAGGAGAGGAAGATGCGTGAGGTGCGGGGTGGCGTGAGCTGGTGTCGTCAGAGTCGGCGTGGCTGGGAAGTGGTGATGAGATGACCAGCACGGGTGGGCGGTGGTGGCGATGCAAGCAACGGGTTGGCTGGCTGCGGGGGCGACTAGTCTTTTGAACCCGCTGGGGCGAGTCGTCGACGGTGCAGTCGGTAGATGTCTGCTGCAGAGGACGACGAATGACAGGATGCCGTGGCGACCAGCGGCGGTGTGACGGGGGAGCGCGGGAGGAAGGGTGATGGATGACGGCGGTGGTGGTGGTGGTAGTGTTGGTGGTGGTGGCGGCGGCGGGCGGCGAGCGAGAGGACCGATTAGCGGGCGCGCGGCGAAGAGGCCAAAGCCGCCCTCCGTCTTCCGCCTGTCCGATCGCGTGGGGGCGCTGAGCCAGGTGCGGCCATCTCTTCTCGCCCGGCAAAACAGACGAGCCTGCAAGTGGAGCACGTCAGGCCGGCCAGGCCAGCCCAGCCCAGCGCTATCGGATCCTCCTCACCATCACCATCGTTCGCCACCACCGTTCGCCACCACCGCTCGCCGCCACCACCGCTCGCCACCTCCGCTCGCCACCGCACCCGCCTCGCTCGCAACTGCGATCGCACCGCCGCCTCGCGCTCGACCCCGGCAGGTCAGACATCCGACCAGCCGTCCGTTCACGTACGGCCCTGCATCGCCCCTCCCCAACCCCAAACCCCGCTCCCCCTTTCCGCCCCGTCTAGCCTCCGGGCAGACAGCGAGCATCTTGGCCCAAGATGGGTGGCGGCGACCTCAACATGAAAAAGTCGTGGCACCCGCTCCTCCATGTCAACCAGGAGCGCGTATGGAAGCAGGAGAAAAAGGCCCTCGAGGAGAGGAAAAAGCTCGAGGAACTCCGCCGCGAACGCCAGCAGGAGCGAGAGATGCAGGAGCTACAGCGCCTCCAGGAAGAGGCCGGCGGCAAGAAGCGCCTAGACAAGATCGACTGGATGTACGCCACGCCCGCTGCCGCAAACGCCCCCTCGGCCAACGACCTCGAAGACTACCTCCTCGGCAAAAAGCGAGTCGACCAGATGCTCCGCGGCGACGAGGCCCAAAAGGTCTCCAAGTCCGACACCTCGTCATTCATCTCGCTCCAGAACGCCAACACTGCCCGCGACACGGCCGCAAAGGTTAGAGAGGATCCCATGCTCGCCATCAAGCAGCAGGAGCAAGCCGCCTACGAGGCCCTCCTCCGCGACCCCACCCGCCTCCGCCAGATGCGCCAAAAGGCCGGGCTGCCCGACACGGCCGACCGCAAAGAGTCCAAAGAGGAGCGTAGGCGCAGGAAGGACGAGAAGCGCAGGCGCAGAGAGGAGCAGGCCGACCACCGTGGCCACGCCAGCAGCAGCAGCAGCCGGCATCACCGAGACCGCGACGGCGATAGAGACGACGATCGACACGGCCACCACCGCTCCTCGCACCGCCACCGCCACGGCCACGGCCACGGCGGGTACGACGATCGGGACCACGACCGGCGCGACGACTCGGGACGGCATCCTTCGCGGTACCGCAGCGACGACGACCGCCGCAACCAGGATCGCGGCGGAACCGGCGGGAGCAGAGACCACGGTCGGAGCCGATCGCGCGGCAGCCCCGAGCGCTACGGCCGGCGGGAGGAAGAGGACCGCAGCCGTCCACGTCGCCGATCGCCCTCGCCTCCTCCGCGAGAGGGTGACAGCAAGAGGGCCCGCAGGGACGACGGAGGCGGCAGCGATCGCGGATGTAACCGCGACGAGCGCAACCGTGCCCACGACGACGACGACCGCGCACACGATGCTGACAGGAGAGCGGCACGGCGTCAGACGGACGACGCGGGTTACCCGCCCCGGCGGCGCAGTCGATCGCCGCGGCCAAAGTCACCGTCGCCGGCAGCAAGGGCCGACCGGACATCACCGCCGCCGCAACGGCGCGCGGACGACGGGCGAT